AAAAAAAGGGAGATAATTGCCAAGTGCCAGTTTTGTAAATACCTGTCGAGATTCAAACAGCTTGTCCTTGTATAATTGCAGTATGATTTATTTAGAATCTCTCATTTTTGTTTGGGGAAGGGTATGGAGTGAAATTCCTACATTTGCTCCGAAGCAAATGTTGGCCTTTCTAGTTTAAACGGATTCAGCTTCTTCATTTTAGGGCCTAAGGTCCTGAAATTTGGTATGGAGGTACAGTGGGCAAATACCCCTAGGCGTTTTTTAAATTTGTGTGATACAGGCTTTTAGAATGTTTTTATTTGAGTTTTTTGGCTGTGTTATAGCAATGTATTACTGTGTTAGTGTGCCGTGTTTACCACGTCTGGGCATGAGTCATCACAATGGAATGCAGGGCATCAACCAATAGGCATGCAGCTTTCCTCTATTCTTCTTGCTGATTGGCTGTTGGGATTTAACTTGATTAACACCTGCACAGAGCATTTCCACCTGCACAGAGCATTTCTTGCTGATTGGCTTTTGGGATTTAACTTGATTAACACCTGCACAGAGCATTTCCATACTGACAGTATGTCTTTATTCAAGTGTTTTGGTAGGTATTTCAAGCTTTTCTGCTCCAGCATTGGAATGCGGGGCATGAACGTTTTTTTTTTAAATCAACAGTTTGCATTATGCAATTAAAAATCCTAACCAATAAAGTAGGGAATAGCTATCCAACTGTTGTTTTAGTTGTATGTTACTTCATATTATAGTTATATCAATGAAAATCATTGTTTTCCCTTGTGTTTCTCATTCTTTCCCTGACATGTCGTAAAATGTGGTGAACCCATCGCTGTATTTGCTCCAAAGCAAATATTGGCCTTTCTAGTTTCAAAATCGTTTCAGCTACATTACTTCCATCTTAGTATTACATAAGGGCATTTACCATGTGTTTTTCATGCCTACAGCAAACCTTGGACGACCTTCAGTCGGAAGAAGACAAGGTGCAGAACCTCTCCAAGCTCAAGGTCAAGTTGGAACAGACGCTGGATGACGTAAGCAAACATCAATATTCATCTACACAAACAAATGAAACATTACAGTCACTTTTTAAACGGTAGGTGAGGAGCCAACTGCGCCACCTAGTAATCATACATATTATTACAGTAGATGCCGTTAACCGTGAATTGACCTCCGTTCCAGCTCGAGGACAACCTTGAGCATGAGAAGAAGATCCGAGGTGACGTGGACCGGGTAAAGCGGAAGTTGGAGAATGACTTCAAGAACACCCTGGACCTGGTGTCAGAAACGGAGCGATACAAGTCCGAGTTGGAGGAGAAACTAAAAAAGTTCGTACAATGATGTATTTTGATTTTTTTTCAGGAAGTTTATGGCACGTTATATCTTTGCTAGCGCTATCATTACTTTTGTGATAGAAAGGCTTCTTAAATTCTTGACTTGATTACTACTTCACAATAAATGCATACGAATCATTTTACCCTAACACTACTGAAGATGGTGTAAACGGTAAAGGTGTGGATTGATAGGAACTACATGTTTGGCTTTTCTAGGCGAGAATTTGAGATCAACGCCCTGCACGCCAAGGTAGAAGACGAGACCAGCATGGCTCAGCAGCTACAGAAGAAGGTGAAAGAACTCCAGGGCCGAATTGAAGAGCTGGAAGAGGAACTGGAGACAGAACGTGCCGCCAGAGCCAAGGTGAGAAGATCACCATACTACATGCGGGCCGCACTTGTTCTGTTACACTTTGAGCTAACTACTGCCGTTGTGTTTTACGTTATTAATTTCCAGGGAAGGATATCCTTCTGCGAAAGAGTACTGTTTTCAATCATGTTTGTGTGTTCGCAGCTGTAGCTTACGCTAAGTTTGACGGATTTCTGTCAATGATTTTTGGTATATTGATTAAGTATAGAGGCCCAGCGGATTGTTTTTGTTTTTTTAATTGCATCTGCATGAAAATGTGTGCATTAATCCACCGGAGGTCATGGCTTGTTGGTTGTTAGAACTTAACTGATACATGTACAAGCAAAAAATTGAGACAGATGTTTTCCCCTATGACCTACATGTAGCTTGAAAGACAACGCGCTGAACTAACGCGAGAACTCGACGACATCGGCGAGAAGCTAGAGGAGTCCAGCGGCGCTACCGTAGCACAGGTGGAACAGAACAAGAAACGGGAGGCCGAGCTACAAAAGGCAAGTTTCAAACTTACTATTACTTACTTCCAATGGAATGTATATACAGTAGAACTATATTGTGGGTTACATTCAAGTCACTTCTTTAATTTTCCAAATATGTCCAAAAATGTGATGTTCCATTTCATCATTTCAGGTCCGACGTGAACTTGAAGAGGCCACGATTTCACACGAAGCAGCGACGGTCAGCCTGAGAAAGAAGCACAACGACACCGTGACAGACCTGACAGAACAGGTGGAGGGACTCCTCAGGGTCAAGGCCAAGCTGGAGAAGGAGAAGAACACCCTGCGGGTAGAAGTGGACGACCTCGCGGCGACCATGGAACAGGCGACTAAAAACAGGGTTCAAGCAGAGAAGGCTAACAAGCTGCTGGAGGAGCATCTCACAGACGCAAACGCGAAGGTTGAGGAGAACCAGAGGTTACTCCAAGATCTGATGTCGCTGAAGCAGAAGCTGACGTCGGAACATAACGACCTGATGCGGCAGCTGGAGGAGTCCGAGGCGTCGTCCAACCAGCTGAGCCGGACCAAGAGCATGCTGACGCAGCAGATGGAGGAGGTCAAGCGCCAGCTCGAGGAGGAGACCAAGTCCAAGAACACGCTGGCGCACCACCTCCGCGCCATCCAGACGGACTGCGACAACCTGCGGGAGTCCCTGGAGGAGGAGCAGGAGGGAAAGTCCGAACTCCAGCGCAACCTCACCAAGGCCAACGCCGAGGTCGCCGCCTGGCGCTCCAAGTATGAAACGGACGCTATCCAACGAACGGAAGAGCTGGAGGAGGCCAAGAAGAAACTTGCTGCCAGGTTACAGGACGCAGAAGAACAAGTAAGTAACGCTTATGATTTCTAATGGCCTGCTATAGGTAGCTATATTATGTGATTTTCCGTCAACTTACGTGATGAAATATGATACTGTTTGCCGTTAAAAACCTTCACTTTATTTCAAATTGTATCACATTTTCTCGGAATGTTGCAGCAACCTCACATAATTTTCACATTTATGCTCCTGGTAGTGTTGCCCAGCCATTTGCTGTTGGGAAACGTACGAAATGCATCTTCTTATCTTTAAAGTAAGGATTTCTTGTCCCACAGGTTGAGGCCGCCAACGCGAAGTGCGCCAGTTTAGAGAAGACCAAGAACAGACTGGCCGGGGAGGTGGAGGATCTGATGCTGGACGTGGAGAAGGCCAACACCGCCTGCGCACAGTTGGAGAAGAGACAGCGGCTGCTCGATAAACTGGTGCGTCTGCCTTATAGTTGTGTCTGATGTCTAAATATTAACTGTATATTCAAAGCTGGGGATATGCTATGGTAAAGAAAGATCCTTAGTACATCGGTGAAGGTTAGACATCTAGGTAATAAGATACGCCCAAAACAGTTACGCAAGCAACTGGATGTGATCTTCCAAAATCATATCCAGTTGCTTGAGTAGCTGTTTTTTTTGGAAGATTGTTAGTTGTCTAAGTTCGATTTGAGAAGATAGAATAAATATGGCGTACGTTAGAGCATACCAACGCTCGAAAACCCCCAAATATAAAAAAGTATGGACTTACTTGACGTTTTTCTTATTGTTGTTCATCTTGAATCGCAGGTAGTAGAATGGAAGGCCAAATGCGAGGCGTTACAGCTGGAGTTAGACGCCTCGCTGAAGGAGAGCAGGACTTATCAGGCCGAGCTGCTCAAGCTGAAGACCGTCATGGACGAGGCAATGGAGGCCCTGGAAACCACCAAGAAGGAAAACAAGGCTTGTCAAAGTACGAAAAGCAAAGGAGCAAAGATTATATAGCATTACACACACAGATGTATGCTTACGCTAATAGGGCAGTACTACATCATGTAAATAAGTCATTATGGCCCTCTCTGGCGTTACTCTGTTACATTTTATTACTCCCACTAAAATATACGTAGCACTTTTACAGGGTATCATTAAATAAAAATTAGTCTACTGTTTTGAGAAGGTTTACATTTCCCTCTACTATAAATGTGTTACTCCTTCTCTTCTGTGGAGTACTGGACGCCCAATCATTTCATTTTACGAAACTCATAGAGAAAGAAGCAGAAAGGTAATTAAGAGGGACAAGAACTCCTTTGCACAAACAGATTCTTTGCACCAAGACAATACAATGCGGACACTAGGCAGCTGTTAACTGATAATGTGACCATATATCTAGATCCATTTGGAGGCTCAACTTTGCTAGCTGCACCTCGTAATGAGGAGGACCGATCATGTTGATGATAAATGTGTTAATTGTGCCTAATTTTTTATTAGCTGAAATCAACGACATGAACGACCAGCTAGCGGAGATCGCCAAGCAGATCCACGAGCTGACGAAGGCGAAGAAGCGTCTGGAGACGGAGCGGGACGAGCAGCAGAACGCGCTGGACGAGGCGGAGGGCTCGCTGGAGATCGAGCAGGGGAAGGTGGTGCGGGTCCAACTGGAGCTGGCGCAGCTCAAGGGAGACATCGAGAAGAGGTTGGCTGAGAAGGAGGAGGAATTCGAGGCCACCAGGTGAGGCCATCATAGTCAACCATTGTGAATATTGCTTATAGCTGTGTAATGCAGCCAACCCTGCCCAAGAACACCACTCTAGGTCAGAGTACCGCCCGCACCTATACATGGTGCATAGGCTAAAGCGGCGCCCATCTCCGTTTCTGTGGCCCTTGGGCAAGCACTTCAGCAAGGGGCTGGTCCAACACACGGTTGCGCAAGCACTTCAGCAAGGGGCTAGATCATTGGTAGCTTTGCATGTTTACGTTTAACTCCTATACTCTTTCCCAAATTCTGCGTAGTAAGCATGCAGAGAGAGCCGCTTGTAAAGTCTTTGGTATGACAGTAAGACAATAACAATAGAAAGTGACGTTCGTCGCAAAGGTTGTTATCAATGGAGAGAAAAATATGACAATAACTCATAATTTTATACCAAATTCTTTCCCAGGAAGCACCACCTTCGCGCCATCGAGTCGATCGAGGCTCAGATCGAGGCTGAGAACAAGGGTAAAGTGGACGCCCTGCGGATCAGGAAACACCTGGAGGGGCATCTTAACGACATCGAGGTGCAACTCACCACCGCCAACCGGGCTAACGCCGAGGCCAGGAAAACTATCGCCAAACTACACAACCAGATACAGGAGATGCAGGTAAAATCATGATTTCAGTATGGAATAGCTATTCATCTACCACAAATTACGTGACAACCAGTTAAAATGTTACAAAGGCCAGGAAAACCATTGCCAAAGTACAGTGATAACCAGGTACAGGCAATAGAGATGCAGGCAATAGCCCATTGTCATCCCATACACACTCCTATCTAGAGCTATCCAGAGCACACAAATGGGTTATTTCGTCATCCATAATGGTGTAGATCGGACCAATTGGCCATGATATTGTTGCCACTGAATTAGATTGTTAGGAAGATAAGCCATTTTTTAAACAGATATGTGTCATGTCATCTGCCTCTGTAGGTTCAGATAGACGACGAGCAGCGTCAGCGGGACGAGATTCGGGAGCAGTACAACATCTCCGAGCGGAAGAACCAGATGCTGCTGGCCGAGACAGACGAGGTGAAGTATTTATGATATTTGGGACTTGTTTCTGCGCTGTTTTAAATATGTCCAATGTAGGAAATACTGTTACTAATGTGCTAATGTGGGGAAGTATGTGTCACTACCATACAGACCGACTTTGCCACCCTGAAATTACCTTAAAGTGCGCTTTGTACCGTCCATCTTCCCACCAGGTTCGCGGGCAGTTGGACACGGCTGAGCGGTCCCGTAAGACTGCCGAGGCCGCCCTGGTGGAGAGTAACGAGCGGCTGGCTGAGCTGAGCACGCAGAACTCCGCCCTGGCCGGGCACAAACGGAAACTGGACGGGGACCTGCAGGAGATTCACGCCACCCTGGAGGAAACCATCTCCGAGCACAAGCAGACCGGCGAACGGGCGAAAAAGGCCATGGCAGACGTGAGTGGACCTCAATGAAAAGCCGATCAGTTAAATCTGCTTAAATGTATCAAATATGCCCATTGTTGTTGTCCTACCAGTGTACATGGTATTTTAACTATTTTTCTCTCCCAAAAGAGCGTCTGTCAACATAAGCTGGACAAAATGCTAAAGGTTAATCAATGTAGCTGTATCGTTTCATGCTATATTGCAAGTGTGCATGTTGGAGGCTTAACAGGTCTTTAATTGTTTCTATTTGGACACTCTAGATACACACTTCTCGACACCTTCTTTTCCAGGCTTCCCGTATGGCTGAGGAGTTACGTGGAGAGCAGGAGCATTCTCAACAAATGGACAAAGCCAAAAGAACTCTTGAAGCGAATGTGAAAGACTTACAACGCAGGTTGGACGAGGCGGAGGCCATAGCACTGAAAGGCGGAAAACGTGCCGTGGCGAAGCTCGAGACTAGGGTAAATGGGTACTTTTGTTTGTGCAAGCTGTCATTTGCATGGTGATGCTGTAATGACTGGTAATTTTCAAAGTACGCTCATATATCCTTATACAAAACCACTAGATCGTATATTGTAATTGAGAAATAGCTAGCCGTTCCTCGAGCTCAACTAAAAACATTGACCCAATGGAATTTGCGACCGAATCTCTCGGTTTTCATCAGATTTTTGGACCTGGAGAATGTTTAATTTTATGTCTTATTGCGTAACTTACCACCTCAGAATCTTCATGGCAGGATTATAATGAACAGCACTATCTACCTTGTTCATAACGGGAATGAATATGCCTACAGAAAATTATAAATAAAGGGTTCCTGGAAGTTGTATGGCAAGGAATCGATATCATAGAAATGATGGTCAACTTAGAGCAAACAAATGAGAATAAGCAGTGACACATTCCTTGACATGTCTAGATCCGGGACTTGGAGACCCTTATCGACGAGCACAGACGTCTTCACCAGGAGGACATCAAACAGCTGCGTAAGAACGAGCGCCGCCTCAAGGAGATGACTTTCCAGGTACTGCAGCCTGCATGTCGTCATTCATCTGGATTTGTGTAAACGTCACCTAGCGGTTTGTTTAGGAACAGCGGGGACGTTGTTTCCAGTATGTGTGTTGTGAGTATGCTGACAGGCAACGACAATACCAGAGTATGGAAAAGCACGACACTAAGTGAAACGTTAAGAAGAACAGAAAGTTGAGAAGGATGGAGAAAACTAGATTTCCGGCCTTCTGTAATTTCTGTAATGCCCCAACGGTTAAATAATTAGATTAATGTATAGATGAGGTGAGAAGATGTTTTAGGTTTTCGATAGACTCTCCGAAATCTTAAGCATATGGTTTGTTTAACCCTCCAGGCTGAGGAGGACGCTAAGAACCAGGAGCGTCTCCAAGAGCTGGTGGAGAAACTGCAGCTGAAGATCAAGGCTTTCAAGCGCCAGGTGGAGGAGGCGGTAAGTACTAGTACTGCAGGCATTATCAACTTGTCTCTTGTAAACTAACATTCCAACCATTCACACTGTTCACAGTAAAGGAGCAAAAAAGCTAACATGTTGGTCAGTGTGTCTGCCATAGCACTAGTTACCGTGGTGACAGACATCTGGTCTAGGCCATTGACCTTAAGAAGAAGAAACTGAGGAAAAACGATATGTTTCCTACCTCGCGTACTTTCAGGAGGAGCAGGCGTCGAGCAACTTTGCCAAGTACCGCAAGGTGCAACACGAGGTGGAGGACCACTCCGAGCGGGCCGAGATCGCCGAGGGATCCCTCAACAAGCTGCGCTCCAAGACCGTCACCTACACCGTCAAGACTACACGCCATTCTAACTAGGACGTCAGCCACCTGACACGGCCATTCAGTCGGATTTGCATCTGCTTACAATGATTAAAATGCTTATAATTAGGCCCTATTCCCACTCTGATGAAATTGTCCGGATGGGGCCGAATTGATTCGCTTTGATCCGGATTCCAGCCTGCTTCGAGCCGGATTGGAGCCAGATCGAGCCGGATCGAAGCCGGATCAAGGCGAATCGATTCGGCTCGATCCGGACAATTTTATCAGAGTGGGAAAAGGGCCTTAGAGGCAAGGAATCGAAGGGGCATTTGAATATACTGACCAACGACCGACGGCCACTGTGACCAATAACATTATTGTCTAATGTCAGGGATTCTTCAGTTGTATTGTTTTTTTATGACATTGATGGCTTAGAATTAGGAACGTTGTTTAATACATTTAAATGGCCTTTCAATTAGAGCAATTTGATCAAGTACATGTGTACTCTAGGCAATAGTATATTGCTGTGCCTTCGTAACCGCTCACTGTAAAACAAGATTTCCTATAGACCAATATAAAGAGGCACCATGGAAGCCTACTCATGGCCATCTGGTCCTATACGATGCTTGCCACGTATGTTGCTTGGTTGATGGGTCAGACATGTAGAATTGAGCTTAAATACTGTTACGGGTCTGTGACTGTAATCCCATATACAAATGCAAATTTACCCACGAATTCCATGTTTTAACCATCCATCATGGCGGACAAAATTTACGTCACGGTCACGTGAGTGCAAACACCCTATACGTTAAACAGCTGGTCCGTATGACCAAAGCGCTGTACTTTTTTTTGTACCTATGCAAAACAAAATTGAACATTACGTAAGTGGCTAAGAGAAGCAATAAAATGCACTGTTACGTCAATGGTGGGTTGGTTTCTTCCCTTGATAGATGGTACTAGTATTTAAATGCTATCCTTTACGTACTTGAGCGCGGAAGGAAAGAAATGATAAACCCTTAGAATAAGGAAAATGAGAAAGAATGATGTAGCCATACTCTAGATTCCTCCTGGACTTGTCGATGAAGTAAACTTGACGTGATTATGAAAACAAATCACTTGGTATTAAGAAGCTGTGAGGAGTAAGTGCTTTTTCAAGGTGAAGGCGACCCTTCGGAAGTACATCACTCATAATCATACACGGCTAGCATTAATTTCTAAATAATAACAGCTTTAAGAAAACTGTCATTCATGGGCAGTTTCGGATGCATTAGAAGGTCGAATTCTCGTCACCCTTCCAATTATGGAATCCACACTCCGAGTCAAGTACGCAATTAAAACTGAAATTCCATGTTTAAAATATGAACACCACCGCGGATAAAACCATTTTCCTATCATGTTTCATTCATACAAATATTCGGACGCCTCTGAAATATCTGATATCATTAATATCCATATACAGTTGGTATACCCAGTACGGACTAAATGTGAATGGATCTCCCGACATTCCGGTCCGAGTAAAGGTCCGAGTCTCTGTAACTTCGCAAGGGCGAGGAAGTCACCGTCTGTGGAACTTTAAAGGTCACGAAATGACAAAACTATTGAGCGGCCTGGCTAGACTAATTTGTCCATCCAGCAGGGCGTTACGGTAAGAACATAAGAACCTTTACACTGACAGACCGCCGGTCCAATCGAACATCATCGTGATCAATTTGAAACACACGACAGTTGGAAACTTACCACAGATAAATATGGCTTTA